CTGTTGTAACTCTTGTTACATTAGAGTTACAACAGTTTTGCACGGAACTTATGTACAAAAACGTAAAATAGTTAAACTGTTGTTGTTGTAATATTTAGCCGGTTAGGCATTTGAAAGTTACCAAAGTTTTACAGGGGATAGATATGCATGTTTACAATCGAATTCCATGATTACCTCATTTTCATAAAATTTTGAGTTACTGCAGTCTTGCACTGAGGGTGCGATATATAGAAAAAGTCCGAAATTAATATTCAATAATATGGAAATAGTACTTTGCACGCAAAAAAGAAAAAGAGAAATGTAATATCATACAAAAGAATAGGTAGTATTAAATGTGCTAGACATATATGTCAAGTGAAAATGAAAATTACATACTCAGACGAAACCTATTAGCGGTACCACTAGAAAATAAAAGTACAGGTAGACTAAAACTGAGATGGGGGACGACGCGAATGAGGACGACTCGAAGAAGATCGGCGCAGCAAACTGGCAACTCTTGGAGATAGGAACCACTGACGGAATATACTCTGGAAGATCAATACTTATCTGGGGTTATAACCCCAATAATGGTGATGATGATAATTTGACCTAGTCCAAATACAAGATGTTATAAAATATTATTCCAGTGGACAGTAAAAAATATACAAAATCACAACAAAACAGTTACAAAGCTTGAGATGTAATGATTCTCATAGCGAACAATTTCATTGAGCGTTATATAATTTAATTTAATTTTAATTAAAAATAAAGTTAAAACGAAATTGAAATACAGAATTTAAACAAAAGAACTTAAAAAAGGTGTAAGTATGAAATAAAGGGTATGAAATGGGTAAAATGACAAATGATTAACCCTCGACCTGCAGTATGTTTCTCTTGGACACGTATAAATTTTAATGTTGCTCTCACTACCTTACAAATTGAAATAAATGACGTGCCTCGAGCTATCTATATCTTAAACACTAATATCAACAGAAATGTTATTTTCGTTGGCCCATGTATTTCGCTTGCGATAAGACATCATAATAAATACATGGTCTTATCAGAGCCGTATTTCGAATTGACTTTCGTCAACCACACGTGAAATATACTTTGCCCCAAGTTTATTTTATCTTCTTACATTTGTGCATAATTTGCAGATTTAAGTTAACATTAGTTTACATAGGCAACCAACTTCACAATAAATAAATTTTAATTCAGTGCGGTGTTTACATTTTTATTTCCTACCTGCATTATTTTCATGCAAACGTTATTATTTTAAACATTCAATAATTTTTGCTTACTAACTTATCATCACACATTATTATTAACTGACTTCTATAGGTCATTGCTTAAATGTAAGATCATGCAATAACTACATTTATTGATTTATCATTACTTTGATAACTAATAACATTTATTTCACAAAAAAAATAATTTAATTTACCTTCTTACTTTAATTTTGACCAATTTTTTAAAAATTACAATATTTTATTTATTTAATACAATATTTTTACACACAATATCTATTTGGCGATTCTTAAGTATTTGCCAAATATCCACTATCCACTGTTTTGAGGAAATGGCAATTTTCAATAAATTTTACTTTCTTTTTTACTTATTTAGTAGGCTTGTTTCACCTAGTGGGTAAAGTAGTTTTCATTTTCTAGCAGAGAAAGAGTATTTTCCCTTTATGTGAAATCTCATAAGATCGACTTTGTGTCATCACCTTAACCCATAAACGGCTAGCGTTACTATATCGTAACGGTTACGCCCATCTCTATCTACGTTCATATTTTCTTAAAATATTGGTAATATATGATAGCAAATAGATCACTTTCGATCTGTATTAGATTATTTTGATGCTAAAATTTGCCAACTTTATAATTAGCACTATTTTGTAGAGCGTTACCATATGGTAACACTTGATAACACTAGCTGGTTATGGGTGCAGATATTTATTGACTGTTATTTGTTTCGGGCAAAGTTTTACGTTAGAAGAGGCCTTAAACATGGTTTATGATGATCAGATTAACATTCATGATATTTTTATAGATCCTCCAGAATCAAATATTCTCATGGACGAAAACTTAGGTAAAGAAGATAATGGAGATATTGTTGACAACCTTAACGGACAACAGCGAAAAGCCCCTGTTGAAGTACGATTTCATAAAAAACAAAATCAGTTTGAAGAGAACGAAAGGTACGAAATATCAGAACGACCTGGCAGAATCAAACTAATTTGGGTAAATGGAGATTTAGTTCCTCGTTCAAGATAATTTCCAAAACACAATGATGTACGATTCAAAAGCTTATTAATTTTTTCTTATTATTGTTTCTTATAAATGTTGCTTATTAAATGCTTATTAAATTTTTGAAGAATTTTTGAATCATGATATAATTCAGCTCACTGTTGATGAAACAAATACCTATACGATTTTCTTGAATGACCCAAATCGTGTCATCACGCTTGATAAAATAAAATGTTGTTTTGTTATTTTTTTTTATCGGAAAATGTCGAATTACCTGGTCGAGACTTTTACTGGGACTCTCAAGATGACATGCGAAATCAAACGGTAAATCAAGCTATGCACCGAGATAGATTTCATTAAATTCTAAGATAACTGCCCTGTCCAGATAACAACAAACCGGAAAAATCTGATAAAATGTGGATATTGAGACCGTTGATGGATAAGTTAAAAAAAATTTCAGACAACTGGATTCCAGAAAAAAACTTGGATTATGACGACTCCATGATAAAATATTTTGGGCGACATCCCTGTAAACAGTTTATTAGGGGTAAACCAATAAAGTTGCGCTGCAAGATGTGGTGTCTAAATACTCCATCAAGGCACTCAATAAATTTTGATCTATACGAAGAAAAAAATCATAAAAAAATACCACATATAAAACAGAATTTGGAAAAAATATACCTTCAATGGTAAATATGGTACACGAATTCCCTAAAGCTTACAAAACTATTCATATTTTATGTGGACAACTTATTAACCAATGAGAAACTTGAGATCTCCAGAGACATGAAGAATAGCCCCAATTGTGTTTACCGTCAAACTATCCCAAATCAACCTTTTACTCCCATACACCGATAACTATTCCCTTAATTTAAATCAACATTCCAATAATTGCCTTTAATTTAAATTTCATCTTTTTTCATTTTGCTTGTGTTTTACTTTTTCCCAACCACCCCAGTAGCCTCTAACATTTTATAACTTCCTTACTAATCACCGATTAACACATCCCATACCTCAATTTGTCCCCCCGTATTTTCTTTCTTTTTATTCACCATACCCTTTCCTCTTTCACTATCTAATCCCATTGCAGTTTCTCTCTATATTATAAATATATAATATATATTATATATTTATCAATATAAATGAGTCAGATAAAATTAAATTGTTAGAAGAATTTTTCACTATGTAACAAAAAATAAAATTTGTTTAATTTACTGTTTGTATTTTGAGAACGATTTCCGAAGTGGAAATTGAAACGTCAATAAACGTATTTTTATCTTTAATTGTGGCTTATTCCCAGTTTAATAGTAATTAATTTTTAATGCCACAAAAAAATAGCTTCAGAACAATATCTGCAATCACTTTTGTGAGAAATAATGCGATTTGAGAGATTTCTTCCGGTCTCATCAACATACTCAGCTTCACACTGAGTACAACTAATGCCGTATACTACATTTGTTTTATCTAATTTGTCTATAGGATACTTAGCTTTGGAATATAAAGATGAAGTGGTTTTGATGTTCTTTGTTGCTATTTTTATATTATCAATAACTTTTAGTGTTTGTATTAATTTAGGTGTTAATACTGGTATAAAAGGTAGTGAATGATAATAGATTTTCTGAGTGTTGGATACAATGTTCTGAGATTTAGCAAAAAATAATGTTAAGTTATTTATAATAAAAAAATTAGAAAAAAGCATCCTATGTAGCATATCTGGAGGATAGGAGTTTTCAATTAAAATATTTTTTAACAATTGAAGATCTTCTTGTAGATAGTCTGGATGAGATAGCTTTAAAACACGTTCTTTTAATCCTGTTATAAGATTCATTTTCATTTTATTTGGATGATGAGAGTAATAGCTTATAAATCTATTATTACATATGAGTTTTCTGAACCATCTGGTTTTCAACATATTGTCTGTATTTCTTACACTTCTCATGTCAAGGAATGGTAGAGAATTATCTACCTCTTTCTCAACTGTAAATTGTATATGTTGATTATGATTGTTGAAAACGTGGATTGTTTCAAGAATTTTGTATTTAGGAAATGCCAAAACTAAATCATCTACATATCTTTTAATAAACGGAATGAAAAAAGTGCACTTGTTGATACAATCACTGATAACATCATCCATGACATAGATACTTATAATGGGTGAAACTGGATCCCATAGGGCTACCAACAATTTGTTTATAAAAGACACCATTAAATATAAAAATATTAGAATCAAAAACAAAGTTGATAAGTGTTTTAAAATGCAATAACCCCCTCTGTGGCTCAGTGGTAAGAGCGTCTACCTTTAAACCTAAAGGTCGTGAGTTCGAATCTCATCTGGGTGGAGAAATTTTCGTTTATTAAAAATTAATGAATGAAAATAATTTCTATCCTTGTGCGATCAATACTCACCGGAGGGACCGCAGACGTTCGGATACAATTAGCGTCTCTTAGCAAAGACAAGGACGCGAGTTCGCGTCTAACAAAAATTTGGCAGACTGACCTCTAATGGAATTGTCATAATCGACAAGAATCGTTTATTCACAATTTCTTCTTATATATAAAAAAATATTTTTATACAACGTGATCCAACTTATACTATTTCCGCAGTGAAAGGGTTATAATATTTTGTAATATGAAATTCGATACCACTAAGGTTAAATTTCCCCACGAATGACTTTAAAACGAAAATAAAGATTAGTGAAAATAGTTTTCTAATTTTTAAAGTACATAATTTTTTAAAAGTACAACATTTTTTAGTTAAAGCTAATGACCTATTTTACATTTCAGTAAATTATATTAATAAAGCATGTATTTAATTATATATTTATTCGTCCGACATACTCTTATAAGTTGAAAGGACGCATTTAAAATTTTTTACTGCGCTTTGTTCAGCTGACAAGCCAGGCATGCGACTTCCACACTTTTCGACAATTTTTTCAACGATCTTACGAATTGATATACCCTTCGAAAGATCAGCTTCCATTGCTCCGGAATTAATATCTCCATTAGGCAATACGCTGCCGATTTTTGTCAAGCGGCATAATATATGAGCCCCTTGATTTTCTGCAGTTTCTAGGTCTTCTGATTGTATCCAATCGTCAGAAGCACGAGTAGCCGGGTCAGACTGGCATTCGTCAATTACCTTCTGCATTTGTTCTTCATATGACTCGCTAAAGTTAATCTAAAATAAACACTTAAAATTAATGAAGATCGTGTATGATTTTGCCGTAGTATAAATAAAAACAAAAAAAATTAAAATTAAAAACTATTATAATATATAATAAAATAAAATATTAATAAATTTAATATTTACACATTTTATTTTTACTAACATAGGTTTTGTCACAATGCCATGCTACATAATATATGTATTCCTGTAAGTTTTGTTGTACGTTGTCCTTTGAAGGGAAGTATAAAATTGGATTACCGTCTGACGACAAGAAGTTTCTCTTTATGTTGTATATGTATATTTCTCCTTCACAAAATATGATTTTATTTGCAAATTTTATTATAAATTTAAAGAGACTTAAATTACATTAAAACAAATTTGTCTTATATGACCAAATGGATTGTAAAACATTTATACATAGTTGATGTTATAATATTATATAGATATTGGATATAGTTTTCTTATGACTGGTGGCGCTATTTCAGTAGTCTTTGCTTTTAAGTGCTAGGTGGATAATTTTGTTTGCTCTTCTTTTTATTTTGTTTTTCTTTCTTTCATTGCAGTTAATTTAAATCTAGATTAAATAGTAAACCCTTTGTGTGTGATTTTTATATGTGGCATAGTATAAATGTACAAAAAGTTTACGGTATAAAAATTTCTCATTCGTAAAAAGCAGACGCAGCCATAATACAGCTGTTCGAAAGAATATCCCTATCTTTACCGCAAGGTTTTTAACAACTTTTAAGTAGCAAAGATTAAGCATCAACTGAGCAAAAAGCAATAAATCTAGTTTTAGCCATTTTTTAAGTAAATACTACAAAGTATTTGCTTTAGTTCAATCTACATTAAGGACTATTCGTTTCAAGCATGTACTTTAAATCCAATATATATTGCTATATCGTCGGCGATGTGACAATACTTGCTAACTGACATTTTTTTCAAAACTACGTTTGTTATGTCTAGAGCTTCATACGCATGAATAATTTATTATAACAAAATCTGCTATCTTTTAAATACAAGTCTGAGGACTTATTACGGTCTAAAAATATCTACTAGTAACAAAATATCAATTTAGTGGCGGCAATACCTGCTATCTGTCAGGTTGTCTACTGTCTGCACATTAGACAGACACAATGTTAACATTTGGTCTGTTAGAAAATCATCGTGTATTCTATTAGTTAACTACTGGAAATGATACATACTAACTCAGTATACATTTAAAACTGTGGGTAAGTAGGTTTGATTAACTATAAATATAATTTTAACTAAAATGTTTTATCTAGTGCGGTGTAGTTAGCAGATACTGCAAAGAAAATTTTACTAATTTAATTACATTTAGCAGCTTCTGCTTTATAATATTAAGTTAGGCTTAAAAAATTAATTTTTTTAAACGGTTTAGATACATAATTAGAGTAAGAATTACAGTTTTATTTATTTTAGGATAATACCTACCATGCTGTTAAGAGCACAAAAATATACAACGCTGCTATCAAAGGCTTATTATTAGAGCCTTGTGAGAAACCACAAAATATTATCCCGACTAACTGCAATGTGTTATCAAAACCTAACTACACAAAATCAAGATGAAGAAGTAACTGATGTTATTTCCAAACAAATCACGGTACAAGTCAATGAAATAGTTATTTCTTTGCTCCGTAATAATGAAATATTTGAAAATGGGAATACTCAAAACCCTACAGAACTTACCAATGTAGACATAGAAAATATTCCAATAGTAATAGTGACCAATAATGAACGAAGTGATGAACTATGCAGTTTCAATCACGACGGTGATTTTAAACAACACAGAAAATCGCAGAGCCTTGTACTAGTTTGAAGAGCATAAATGTAGTTGAAACATCAGTTTCTAATTCAGAAAAACTCTAGTGAGGCAATATGACTGAAGGTCAAAAAATAAAACATAAAAGTGACCAGATGAGCGGAAAAGAGTAAAAAACCAAAAACTATGAATGAAAGGAGTGGTGTATTTAGGGTTTTCTCGTGATCAAAATAAGATCTTCAAACAAAATGTTCCCTGTCCAGCTCTAGTTAAAGGAGAAAGGTGTGCATCAAAAATGAGCCTAAAATACAAAAAGAGGTTCTATAATACTTTTAGGGAAGACATTAAAAGTTTACTGGGTGTTGAAAGAATATGCCGTGGGACCAAAGGAAAGTGTTTGTGACAGGACATGTTAGTCTCCAGCCACCTTCAAGAAAGTCGACAGAGAAAAAAGAAAGCAAACGCGAAGACACAGTAATCTATAGGGTATATCATGGTAATAGTTTAGTGCAAGTTTGTAGAAATATGTTTTTAAGTACCACTGGTTTAGGACGTTATACAGAAGTTTTACAGTAGGGAGTTGGTTGAAAAATAGTGTAGTCGGAAGTGAATCACAATCTCAAAGAAATACAAACAGAAAACCCAAAAACTACAGAGTAAATTCCTGTGAAGAGAGTAATAGAAACTTTAAAATATTTTTCGAGAGTCTACCAAAACAACCTTATATATAACACTAGAACTCATCAAGCTACTTATTACCGGTTTACAGAAGTAGAGTGCAGTTTCCAGGCTTTCACTTTTGCTTCTTGTTTAATGGATTATTTAAAGGCGCTGCTTAAGAAAAAATCCACCTATCGTAATTTACTTAAACTGTTGCACACAAAACCAAACCAATGTTATGGCAAACGCACTTCGTAATTTTGTCGTTAAGTATAGAGTCTCAGTTACGCAAAAATATCTTACCAAAGGTCACAAATAAATGGAATGTGACTTTGTGCATAGCTGTATTGACAGAACTTTACTATACTTTTTCGAATCTGGATCCGACTACTGCCCAATATCGGGCTACGTCTACATCCTTTGTATTTGCGAGCCATAAATCATTAAGGGTGCACTGTGATGGGCATACTCTCAGGTGATCCACGTTCTGTATTTCCCCACATTCACAGAGTGCCTCGCTATCTGTCTTAATGCCCCATTTAATGATGTTCTGTTTTACAGGGGCAACACTTGTGCGCATGCGGTTGAGTATCCGCCAGGTTCTCCAGTCCAGGTTCATTCCATTAGGTCGTTCTGGATGTAGGGGGAACACTTCGGGTGGTTCGACGATGACATTTCTCATAAACCTTTTCCTAGATTTAAGTCGGCTGATTCCTGGTGGATCGTCAAATCCGTATAATTGGTGCCGTTCATCGAAAGTTTGCCTGAACTTCTCCACATATTGTGAGGCACATCTACGGTCGTCTGGTGATGCGAATCCAGCTACCCGGTACAGTAGGTGTAGAGGGGTGGCTTCTTACAACCGGTAATGATTCTACATGTTTCATTTAACGCCGTGGTGACTTGTCGCGCGTGTCTAGATCTACCCCAGACGGGACAAGCATATTCCCCTATTGAGAAACATAAGGCCTTAGCTGCTGACTTCAAGACCTGGGAGTTTGCACCCCACTTGCTCCCTACAATTTTCCGGAGAAGGTGGTTCCTCGTAGAGACCTTTGGTCTTGTGCTCGGACAGTGGAATTTATACGTTAGTGACCGGTCTAGTATTACTCCAAGATATTTGGGCCTCTCAATATGTTTTAAGCGTTGTCCCTCCTAAGAAACATTCAGTTTTACATGCGCCAGTTGGTTGTTGAGATGGAATGCACATACTTGGGTTTTAATAGGGTTTGGCTTTAATGAGTTTTTTTTTTGTAGTAAGTTGACATCATTAGTGTCTTCCCCTTTACTCCTATACCAAGGTCGTCAGCGTAAACAAAACTCTCAGTCTAAGGGGGCATTGGTTGGTCGTTGGTATAGATGTTAAATAAGGACGGCTCCAGAACGCTTCCTTCAGGTAGGCCATTTTTTTTGGGTTCTCCATCTACTCTTCTTTCCATTTAGCACAACGTAGAAGCGTCTATTACACAACAGTGATCTAGTGATATTTACCAGGTCATAGTCAAGCACAGTGTTATAGATCTTAGTTAGCAAGGTTCTGTGGTTTATCGTATTATAGTCCGCTGTGAGGTCTATCAAGGTTACTTCTACTATCTCTTTCTGCTTAAATCCCTCCTCTATGTATTCTGTTAGGTTCAGTACTTGGCCTGTGCATGATTTACCTGGTCTAAAGCCTGCTTGTTGTGGGATTAGTTTTACATCTAATGTTTCCTGGATGCGGTTCAAAATGAGGCGTTCATACAATTTATACAAATGGCATAGCAGACATATTGAACGGTAGCTACTCGGTAGTTCAGGGTCATTGCCAGGTTTCAGAAGGGCGATTACTTTTGATTTGCGCCACAGTTTTGGAATTTGGTAGGTAGAGCGACAGATGTTAAATAGATCGAGCACCCATTGTCTCGCTTTTTGTACGAGATGTTTTATCTGCTCTGTTAGGATTTCATCCACCTCAGGTGATTTTTAATTTTTCATACAGTCAATACCATTTTTGAGCTCTTCGATGGTAAATGGGTTTCGTAAGAGAGTTGTTTCCTGGTCTTAAGTTCTTATAATATTTGGCGTTTTGCAACAATTGCTTGTTTTGCCATTCAGAAGCAGTTGGTGGGCTATCTGATTTGGCGTTATTGCACATAGCTCTTTCATCTCTGTGGGATCACCATTTAGTTTTTTGATCATATTCCAAGCCTGCTTACTACTGTGCGTCATATCCATTTCACTCAAAGTCTCGCTCCACCGTTGTTGTATTGAAAGAAAACTAAAAAATAAGGTTATTGAGTTACCAAGTGATTATGTTAAAGCGTCGAAAGAAGCCAGAATAAAACATGATCCATATGAAGTTATTCAACTAAGTCACGACTTTTTAAAAGATTATGCCAGATTAGAACTGCAGCAGTACTTCATAAACAAACATGGTAAAAATAATTTTTTTGTAGATTTTAAAGTTTTATAGTATAATCACGAAGGAATAATTCAATTTAAACTAAATTTTAACGAATAATTTCAGCATCTTCCTGTTAGACCCAAAAGCATTGAAACCAATATAGATTACCCAAAGATATACAACAATCGT